AGAGAGAGAGAGAGAGAGAGAGAGAGAGAGAGAGAGAGAGAGAGAGAGAGAGAGAGAGAGAGAGAGAGAGAGCGGAGAGAGAGAGAGTGTTGCGGTTATGATTAGAGCTGCGATTGAAATCTCAGCATTTGCATCGAATGTTTTTGGTTGTAGGACGCGATGGCGGTTGATCCGTTTGAAAATGAGGTAGATGGCCCACCTCCAAACGTGAGGAGCTTTTTCCGGAACGAGTTCCGGCGCTCTCGGCTCGGATTTCAGGGGCAGCGTTGGGAGAGCTTCGTCAGAGCGCGGTGGTATGGCTGGGGAGACGACAGAAGGGGCCAGTGGGTGTTCGTAGTTGTGCGCTTCTTTCTGGCTATGTACTGGAGCGTATGCGTGATGTTGAATGTGCTTTTGCAAGGAGCCGGCGTCGGCTCCGTGTACGGCTATGCCTCTGTTCTGGAACAGAGATGGCTCCTCTACCTCACCAACTGGTGCGCTGCGATTGAGTTAATCTATCTATTCCTTGCTGCTTTCGTCTGTTTCCGTTTCGCTCTAAGTACCTATCCTCTGCGGCCTTCAAATCGCCGCGAAATCACCTCCGCATTTGCTGCCGGATCACCAGTATCCACTTCGGGCGATGAAGGGTCCAAGTCGTCACAAGACGTCTCTTCGAGAGACGACGCTTGCTGCAATCCGGATCTCGAGGCTGGTGGCAATGGCGATGGCGGTGGCCTTGGCCATGCTGTGGCCGGGGAGAAGGACGATGACGGGAGGACCATTGGTGTCGAGGAGAGCGGCTATGGCGGCTCCATGCACGTGAAGGAGAGCGGATACGGCGGCTCCATGCATGTGAACGAGGCCGGCTATGGCGGCTCCCTCAAACACGTGAAGGAGTGCGGTTATGGCGGCTCCCCACATGTGAAAGAGAGCGGCTATGTCGTGCGCTCCATAGCTGCGAAGGAGAGCGAGACGGAGCTTCCGTGGGTGTACAAGGTGATCTGGGTCTTGCGTAATGTTACAGCAACATGTAGTTTTGTGGTGTTCGCGTCGTACAATCTTTGGGTAGTCGTGTATTCGTTGCGCTTGGATGCTCTCGATGTGCAGCTGCATGGAGTGAATTTCCTGATCACTGTAATTGACTCCGTGGTCGCTGCTACTCCCATGCGGGTCCTTCACTTTTATCAGCCTCTGGCATTTGGAATAACCTACGCTGCTTTCTCTCTCGTGTTCTGGACAGCGGGAGGTCGAAACAAGGAGGGAAAACCTTACATCTACCCAACGCTGAACTATGAGGAGGGGGCAAAGACAGCGGCGGTGTATCTCGTTGTATTATGTCTCCTTGTGGTCCCACTGACCCATTTCTTCATCTGCTTGTGGTGTTATATGTGGTCGCGTTTGCTCGGGCCACGTGGACAGCGGGAGGCCTATCAACGTAGGGGGTGGCCTCTCAACGATCCCTGAGGACATGGCGCCTGCAGTTGGCCGAAAACTCGTAACGTTGCTTTATCCAAATCTAACTCCTCCCGGGTACGTACCTTGTATACGAAGACAAGGTACGGCGTACCTTGTGTTGTTTTTGAATACCTTGTATTGTATTCGAATAGGTTGCTTGTATTGTATTCGAATACGTTCCGAATACAAGGTACGTACCTTGTAGAACGAATTTTAGGATGCATCTTTCCTAGGCAAGGGGAAAAAAAAAAATTTACAGTAAATATTAGTAATAATATCACCAATGGAACACAATCTACTGCTACCTGGATGGGGCTGCAGCGTGAAGTTCTTTTTTTTTTTTTTTTTTAAAGAACACATTGACTGCACTGCGTGCTCACGATCCGCCATGCATTCCAACGTTACGTGTGTTTGTGTGTGTGTGTGTGTGTGTGTGTGTGTGTGTGTGTTGAGAGAGAGAGAGAGAGAGAGAGAGAGAGAGAGAGAGA